CGCAGACCTTTGTAGACTTGTTAATGCTAAAGCTGTTACAATTCACCCTATTCTCCTGGGTGTAGGTGGAACTATTTACACTGAGCATACCCTAAAGCAATTCAAACAACTAGGATTGGATCACCAGCGTGCCACGAAGCTTGCTCAACAACTTCATGCCCATTCTGTTCAATATGCCCACAAACTAGTCTCCACACGCCGCGCTATTGAAAACAAGAATACTTCCAACTGCCAGGTTCTAGAGCCAGGTGCTTCTAGTAACCCTCCAGATCCACATTAGCATTCTCTTTTTCATACCTTGTGGTGGAGGGGGCACACGGCTCTCTTTTGAGCCAATGTGTCTCCTTTTCCTTAATTGATGTAGGGAGGGTTTCTCTGCCTACGTAGTTTTCTTTCTTTTCTTGCTTGGTGAGATTTTCCTTCCTGTTCATCTGCTAGACACCTCATCACTACTTGTTGCTGCACACAGGAAAGGAGATTAGCAACGCCTTCTCGGACATACCTTGTATCTCCTCACCTATTGAGCGCACCATCGTAACAATAATCAACTTCATGCAGACCAGCAATATCATGATGTACACCTAATTGCAATCCAGTATTGCAAGGACACAAGGCCAGCAGTTGGACACCAGTTGGAAGCGGCACAGAGGCAGTACCCCAATCTGTGTAAGAATACTGGTGGGAACCCTACATCCCTTCATACTGCATCTTTTGGGCGTCGGTGGGACTTGTTGTGAGAAGCAAACGATGAATCAAAGATTTTGGCCTTGACCACCAATGAGCCACTCAACTCACTTGTAAAATCCATGCCCTACCGTTCAGCATCCCTCAATCTGTCCGGAAACCCTCAAACTTATCACCAGTACTATTATTCACTTATCGCTAGTACTACCTCGGAGGCGGTTCGTCCTGCATGGTATAATCATATCACAAGGCGCTTTGTGCAGGACCAAAACAAGAGCACCTCTCACGTGTGCTTAGTACCAGTACTCTTCCAGAGCATGGCTAGCAGTCAGTCGATTTGACTGGAGGCCTTATAACCTTGCAACCTTGTAACCTCTTTCAGAGCATGAAGGTTACTTGGTGACCTGATCAGTTTCAAGACCAACTCCAAGTTGGTGAGGAGTCCTTAGAGGGACTCCAATGTGTGGGGGGCACCGATCACGCTTCGCCCACCTATAGTTAAATCAGTAAGGTGAATAATTTGTGACAAGGCTTTTGCAAGATAGCCATACTTGTATGGTCATGGTGTTGCAGTCTGGAGGCTTGTCAGCTGGTGTCATATCTAGCTGCGCTATTGAGTTACTTTGGAGGTGAGTACTTCCTCCTGGCACCCTCTGCACCAGCCCCATACATATGCTGGTGTGTAGCCCGCATTTTATTTATAGATTTAATTCAGATTATCGATATTTTTTGGGGCGTACTGTTGGCAGAGTGCCCAAATTGTGCTACGTGTCCTGTTTCCGATTTTGGGGGCTCTCCTCAGGTGAGCCTGGCTGGATGGCTGTGGAATCCACCCGTGTGCCCTCTTTCCCTGCAGATGCTGGTATGTACAGAGCACCTCCAGAATGGATGGTCCACACATACATGCTGCTGTCGTCAGCTGGGGTTGATAAGGGGTAGGTGATACCATTCTCTGCAATCGGGGGGAAATCCAAGCTTGGCCGACTGGCATGTTCGTTCAGTGGGTACCCGCTGCCTCCCGGTAGGCATGGGCACATCATCTTTCTCGCGTGCCCATCATCTTCTGTTCCATGCATGGATACTTCATGGCAAGCCATGCTGAGGGAAGTCACTGCTGCCCGAGCACCAGGTTTCTGCTGGCTTGCCAGCTTGAACTTGGTGTTTAATGCGGCATGGACATACCGTAGCGACAGTGATTATCTTGCGAGTAATTAATTAATCCCCTGGCACCCCTCGCAAGATTGAGCGTCCTTAGAAATGACTTATTTTTAAAGCTCGCAAGATTTGTACTTTCTAATTGGAGCCTCCCGAGGGCCCAAACATGGACCCTCATGCCCCCAAGGGGCAACTGACCCTTTTTGACCTCGGGTGCACCAAGAGGAAGCGGACAGAGGCTGATGGGCAGCCCAGGGAGCTACGCACCCGCATGGACCCAGCTGTTGCTGCCCGCATGGAGGAGCAGGAGCGCCATGCAGCAGCCATCGGAGCTGCCAGGCCCCCTCCAGGGGACCACAGATGAAATGGAGATGGACTGATGTCCACTCAGAGCATAGAAAGGGGTTGAAGTCTAGTCCAGGGGACTGAGGGCATGGAGTACTGTTCAGGAGAATGAGGGCATGCATGGAGAGGTGCATGGAGTACTGACCAGGGGACCAGGGGACCAGGGGACTGAGGGTTGCATGGAGAACTGATAGCCTTTCCAGTGTTTACCCAGGGCCTGAGAGCCTGTTGCAGTTCGCAAGCTTTGTTGTTGTTGCCATTTTGAGGAGTTCGCAGATTTGCTAACTTGTGGACCTCCCTCGCAAGATTTAAAAGTCGCAGAAAAACTACAAAATTATTTTGGGCACCTCGCAAGATAGTGGCGTCGCAAGATAGAAGCGTCGCTACGGTAGTGTGTCAAATGTGGCCGAAAGGAGATATATTTAAAACACATCAAAATTTATCCAAATTTATTTGAGTGTTTTTGTGTGCAGCTCAAGCCAACGGAGTTTTCTGACGAAGTTCTACATGTTTACCGAGCCCGACTCTTTCAAAGTCTCCCAACCTCAGAAGCGAACCTCAAAAAAAAAGTGTGGCTGCGGACTCCTCCTGCATGCCCTAAATGTGGGTACAGCTAAACTTATGGGTAACTCAGTCAGTCTCCTGGATGGCCCATTTATCCCACACATGCTCCTGCCCCTCGGGTTGCCGTGACTGTAGGAGGAGAATGCATGCGGCTCCACTCACCACATCCGCACGTGACTACACTGATGCAGGTGCAAACTCTCCACGCTTGTCAATGTTTCATCAGGGAGTCCATGATGGTGATTAATATTCCCAAGAAGTTGCTGGAGGAGAATCAAGGCCATGCCACGCTTGAGCAACAGAGCCTTCCACGGACAAAAAGTGCGGATCTGGTGGGTGGAGCATCTGAACATGCTGCACACAGCGCGCGCACACACACACACACACACACACACACACACACACACACACACACACACACACACA